TGGGAGTCCAGCGACATAGCCATTACGCTGACTGCTGGTTCCCCAATAAATAATTCTTAAAAAAAAAAAAAGTTAGAGCTCAGGGCAGCCGTGTGGCAACAGTGATGTAACCCTGTGTGACTTAAGCCACGTGGGAAGGACTGAGCCCACATTCTGAGGTCTCCGCACACGGGGCATGCGTACACCTGCCTGCAATGGTTCTGGCTAAGGCTGGGGGTGGATTACAGTGAAGGCACCCTTTTGGGGTGCTTGGTCCTCTGGCTTTCTCTCTCTCACATACACACAATATACACAAAATAAATACACTTAAAAAAAAGAAAGGACGGAGGGCCGGCAGGTGGCATGGTAGTGAAGGGCGCTGGACTCAGCAGTTCGAGTCCCAGACCTGGTGGTGGCTTGCTTTCTCACTTTCCCTCTCTCTGTCACTCTGTCCGTCTCTGGTCAAGTTAAAATAAATAAATAAAGTTAAATTTTAAAAAAAAAAAAACGAAAGAAGAACCAGTAGGTCGTCTAGTGGTTGAGGTCCTGGACTCCCACGTGACTGACAGCAGTTCGAGTCCCAGACTCAGTACCTTCAAAGTCACGCCGGGCGCGTGTGCGTGCGTGCCCAAGTTCCCGAGAGGAGAATGGAGGAGAAGGGATTGCGGCGTGGCCATCCCCCCTGGGGGGTGATTTCTCGCTTTCTGTCTCTATGTCTCTCTCTGTCTGTCTGGCGAGCGCACACGCCCTACAGTGAAAATCTCTCCAAAAAAAAAAAAAAGCTGGATTCTATATGACAGCCACAGTTCCAATCCCAGGAAGCCAGAAACACACCAAGTGTTGGTGTCCAAGCTCTGACCGGCTGGAGGACAGGGGAGGGGACAGCAGGGTGACCGGGTCCTGCGACAACTGCTTGGTTCTCTCTCTCTGTCTCTCACGTGTGCACACACACACTTTATCATGAATAAAGAAAAACAATTTTTTTTGGTAAGAGAGATATTTTTGCTATAGGGCACATGCTGTCAACAGACAGACAGAGAGAGACAGAGAGACAGAAAGCGAGAGAAACTTTTTTTTAATACATTATATTATTTTATTTATTTATTTATTTATTTATTATCAATTTGCTATAGGGCACATTGGTTTTCCAGAGAGAGACAGTTGTCAGGTCCAGGACTTGAACTGTAGTCGGCCATGTGGGAGTCCAGTGCCTTAACCTCCATGCTACTTGCAGGTTCCCACTTTTTTTGTTTTTTATTTTTATCCAATTCGCTACAGGGCACATGCACTTCAGAGAGAGCGAGAAATATGGTAAGAAATCACCCCCCAGGGGGGATGGCCACACCGCAATCCCTTCTCCTCCATTCTCCTCTCGGGATCTTGGGCACGCACGCACACGCGCCCGGCGTGAGTTTTAAGCCACCGGGTCCGGGACACGAACCACGGTCGACTACGTGGGAGTCCAGCGACATAGCCATGACGCTAACTGCTGGTTCCCTTCTTACCCTTTTTATGTTCTGATCCATAAGGCACATGACTGCCATTCACGGTTACCCCCCTCCACTCAACTACGGATACTGGCCGTGAGTACATGCAGGCTGGGGGTGCAGAAGGGAGGGCGTCAGCCCCAGGGCCTGCGTGTGGGTGGACATCCCTCTCCACCGCCATCCTCAGAGGCTACAGGGGAATCGAGTTCCCAGGCCTCTGAGCAAGAAGGAAATGAGAAGCCACAAGGAGGAAGGTCTGGGGCCCAAGCGAGCAGGTTTGGGAGGTGGATCTGGGGAACTCGGGAGGCCTGGGGTCTGGGTCCTGAGCTCTGGGGGCCCTGAGGTTCCGGAGGGGTGAGTCCCAGGATCTGGAGGTCCTGAGGTCTAAGAAGCCTTTGATCCTGGATATTGGGGTCAGGGAGTCCTGGGATCTGGGGTTCTAAACTCTGCGGGTTTTGCATCTTTGGGGTCCTGAGGTGGTTGGGGTCCTAGGGTCTGAGGGATCTGGGCTAAGGGGGTTCTGGAGCTTTGGGGTTCTAGGGTCTAAGAAAAAGATCTGAGGTCCTGGTTCTGTGGGGTCTGGGGTTTGGGGTTCTGAAGTCTTGGGGTTCTAGGGTTCTAGGAAACACAATCAGAAGTCCTGGTTTGGGGGCTGGCAGGTGGCATGGTAGTTACGTCACTGGCCTCCCACGTAGTCGACTGCAGTTCGAGTCCCGGACCCAGTGACTTAAACTCACGCCAGGTGCATGTGCGTGCGTGCCCAAGATCCCGAGAGGAGAATGGAGGAGAAGGGATTGCGGCGTGGCCATCCCCCCGGGGGGTGATTTCTCGCTTTCTGTCTCTCTGTCTCTCTCTGTCTGACGAGCGCACGCGCCCTATAGCAAAAACCTCTCCAAAAAAAAAAAAAAAAACCCTGCATTCCCACATGTCCAACCACAGTCCAAGTCCCAGACGTGGCAACTTCCTTTCCCATGTTCCCTTTCTGTCTATCTGATCAAAATTGAAAAAACAATGGGGGCTGGCAGGTGGTGGGGTGGTTAAGGTGCTGGACTCCCACATGGTAGACCACAGTTCGAGTCCCAGACCTGGCAGCTTGCTTTCTCCTTATCCCTTCCTCCCTCTGGTCAGTGTACGTGTCCTATAGAAAATTTAAAAACAATAACAATACATTGAATAATAATAACTAATGGAATGAAATAAATCAATAATTATTTAAAAAAAAAAAAACACAAAAAAACCCCCAGAAGTCCTGGTTCTGGGAATCCCAAGTCCGAGG